AATATTAAACATAACAGTAACGCCATCTATGGCTTTGATAATTAAATAATATTACTACCAACTTAACACTAGGGATATTCGATATACATCGATGCATCGAAAACATCGATGTTTGCAATGAAAAACATCGAATCGATGCGATGTTTTGAAAAGCTTTCAATATACTCGATGCATCGATGTTTAAAAAAACATCGAATTGGTAATACAGTTTGACCACGTAGTGATAATATCCTCTTTTTGGTTTAACCTCAGTAAAGAAAAACTTAAGTTTGACCACTAAAATTTTACTTATTACTGTTATGAAAGCATTCCGAATTCTCTGATATGGCTCCGATGTTGGCAGCACTGCGCAAGAGTCAGTGCAGTGACAATAAAAAATAACTACGAGTTTCTATGTTTATAAACATTTAATAACCTTTGGTTTTGTGAAACAAACTAAGATTGAAGTACATATATTTCTAATATTCTATTGACCGACAGCAAAAATTTTTTAAATTTAAGAAAAAGTACTCGATGTTTGAAATACATCGATGTTTTCATCCGATACATCGATTGACATTGACATCGATGTATAGTTGCGATGTATCGAATCAAAAAATACATCGATGTTTTTTCAGAGTGGACACCCCTACTTAACACAGCTGAACGCGCTAACCACTTGCGCCATCGAGAGCTCGATGGCGCAAGTGGCCATGATCCTCATTGTGAGCTACAAATTATAGTACACTAACTAGTTGCGATTTAAACATAGTTCCAACCAGACGGTTGTCAATAATGGCAGCATTTGGTTTAACTCTGAAGTCTGCGAGTCGGCTCCAGATTCCAACTTGGAGAAACTCGACAAACTGAGTTTGTCCTGTAAGTTCTCAGCTGTGACAGTTCGTGACAAAGATTTTTAAATAAGTTTCTGTAACACTTTAAAATTTAGAATTGACATTTCTTTTCTTTCAAAATCTATTCATGAAGAAAATATAACTAGAAAAAATTCCACTCGAACCAGGCAGCAGACTGGACTCGAACCCGCACCCTTCGCAATCCGGGCGAATGCACTGACCAATTATGCTACCGCGGCCCTCACGGACCGCGTCGAAATTTTTCTAGCCATTCTTTAGCTGCAAGGCAGCGCCATCTCTTCGCATTATAGGTAACCCACAATGTCAAATGAATACTTTTACAAGTATTAAACATTTGAAAGAAGAAATAGCAATTATAGTTATAAATTTTATCATTTTAAAGCATGTAACTGCTTGATGTTTAAATCTAAAGAAAATATAACTAGAAAAAATTCCATTAGATTCTTTTTCATTTAGATTTTTTTTTCTTTAGATTTAAACATCAAGCAGTTACATGCTTTAAAATAATAAAATTTATATCTATTCATGACTTGAATATCAGTGCTGGTGAGGCACAATGACGCATCAGCTAAAGCTGAGGCAGGGTCAAGACCCTGCCTCAGCTGCAAAGATGTAACCCAAGGGTTACATCTTTTAAAATTGTTTACGTACCTTTAAACTGGTAAGTGATTTTAAGAGTTAATATGTGTTTTCTTTTCTTTCTTTCTCACTTGAAGTTTTCATTACAATTTTTTTAATGTTGTGGAATTTCTTCCGTTTTATTTTTGTTATGTAGTACATCTGTAACACTAAAATCAGTGGCGGACTAAGCCTGTCAGAGGCCCGGGGCTGCAAAGATGAATGAGGCCCCCAGCTTTAAAAAAAATTTAGATTCGTATGTTTATTTCGTTAAAACCAGTCTTGTTAAATTCACCATAATTTTGTATCAGATTGTCAACTGCTGCAGCCAAAGCGTCATCTGAAGCCTCTAGCATAAACTTTGTTTCAATAATTTAGAAAATATTTTTGTTTAATAGCCCAATTCGAAAATTCTTGTATAAAGCGGTCTATGCATTCATACATTGACCGACGTATTTCTTATTGAATTGATAATCCAGCATCATGAGCTGATTCAGCCGGCATCTTCTTTTTACCTTCACTTTTCCTGGTTTCTTGATGTTGATGAACCACCTAAATACTTATTCAAGGCGTTTAGTTTTGATGATTCCTGTATCCAAAGTCATTTTTGGAGACCGCAAATATTGTTAGACTTAAATAGAATATAGTGAATGTAAATGTATGCGTACAAGAGTAAATTATTTGCACTTCATTCATTCAGGGATTCCTGAGGAAGTACCCGCTACAAAGACGGGAATTCCCCCACAGCGCATGGACGCGTTCAGCAAAGTTAAAAAAATATTAGTACCGCGTATAAAGTCTAGATTACTGTAGTGTTTTGATCTTGATGAAATTATGTAGGTACTAAGCACATTTTTAAAGTCTTGTTTAGGATTTGATCAGGGTAACGTGGAGGCATTTGGGGGCCGCCCCTTCCACCCCCCTGTTAGTCCGCCACTGACTAAAATCGTCACAAATGCGTAGGGGCAAGGAGTAGGCGCTGTTTTTTATGTTAAATAAAAGTACTTCCCTTCTATCACGTAGCTTAATGATATGCACATATAAAATTGTATCTTATTATATACCATTTAATATAATTTTGGATAAGTACTTATATAGGTAGGTGTCGCGTCCGTCGTTCCAACTTACCAACTACAAACAATGTTCGACAACTGTTTCAAAATTCTTCATCCTCCTTTAATAAAGTTGTACTTGAGCATTTACAGTGAAGTTGAGAAACAATGTTGGTAGGTATAGCTGCAAGTCTCCCTTGCTTAATTTATTAACACACTGGGGGATGCGCCGGAACAAATTAATTTCATATTCAGCTTCCTGACTTAGTTTCAATTTCAACGCAATCTCTTAACATGATTTTGAGTCTAAAGTAAATATAACTAGAAAAAAAATGGGTGCGTGTACTTATGTAGGCGCGTGAGAAGTTATCCTTCTTTGGCATCGTTTAAAATTAGTTTTTAATTGCATGCAAATAATTAATTACAATAAATTAATAAAAAGTCTGGAAAAGGACACAGTCAATAAAGTTCAGTTTTAATTTGAAAAAATAAATAAATAATCAAAATATTCAATTAAAATCGCTACTGAATATAATTTATTAGAACATATGTGATTTGCACTTGTATGAAACTCAAACACGTATTCCGAATATACAAACTAGAAACATGTGGATAAATATTATAAATATGAATACCTATAACTGTTACTTTATTACAAAAAATAAAGATGTGGTTTTTGGTTCTACTACACCAATGGTCAAGAGATGGCGCTGTAGTCTCCTGAATCGCGCTTTGGTTCCGTTGTTCCAGATTAATAAATACTTTTGATATTATAAATATGAATACCTATAACTGTTACTTTATTACAAAAAATAAAGATGTGGTTTTTGGTTCTACTACACCAATGGTCAAGAGATGGCGCTGTAGCCTCCTGAATCGCGCTTTGGTTCCGTTGTTCCAGATTAATAAATACTTTTGATAGGCCTTCACAATGCGGTCGTTAGCACCCACTAAATAGAGATTCTATTTCTATTTTGTTGGTAGATTTTCTTAATGTGCGGTAAACACATAAGTAACAGCATGAAGTTGGTCGCTTTAGCGAATTTTTTGTATTACAGTGATGCGCGCGCATCTAAAAATTTCACTCTCATCATTTTTTCATAACGCGCCTAAAGAAGTATAACTTCAAAATCCACGCGGACCAGGCAGCAGACGGGGATTGTGGGTTACCTATAATGCGAAGAGATGGCGCTGCCTTGCAGCTTAAGAATGACTAGAAGAATTTCGACGCGGTCCGTGAGGGCCGCGGTAGCATAATTGGTCAGTGCATTCGCCCGGATAGCGAAGGGTGCGGGTTCGAGTCCCGTCTGCTGCCTGGTCCGCGTGGAATTTTTTCTAGTTATATTTTCTTAAGATTTAAATATCAAGCAGTTACATGCTTTAAAAATTATAATGATCTTGAGTTTTATAGCCAAATACTTTTGATTGAATTCTAACCATAATCTTTATTTGCTAGTGACACGGTATACAGGTATTGGATAAAGTGAATTGATAAACTGTTTTGCCAATTTTTAAATTGAATTGAATTGAAAATAGCATGCAAATACTGAAACTTTTAAAATACTAAATAATATTGTACACGCGTGTTTCGTTCAAGAGTTATTACAATTTAGATTTTAATCGGTTTTGAGTATTCCATCAAAAAATATCGAAGTACTATCTCTTCAACTAGTTAAGTGCAAAAATATCTCATGATCCCATTAGAGCTAAGTGACAGGAGAACTACAATCTAAAGAATTTAAATATAAAACTAGTTTTTACGAAAGCACGAAACTTTATTTATTTATTGACGTTTCGCAGCCTTTACAGGCTGCGTCGTCGGAATCAATTTTTTATTTAATTTTGTCGAGCTACCTTCGAAAGACTTTTATTGAGCGTTCGGTTATTTCATTGTTCGATTTTAAAGTTTTATTGTCTGTGTATGAATTTATTACTTAATTTAGTTAATAAAGTACTTTATTTAAAAATCTTTGTTGTAATTTTGAATTTATTTATTTGACCCTAACTACCGTAAACTACCACCGGTTCCAAAATTGGGAGACCTTTCTGAGAAGAACCGGCGAAACAAACTCAAGAGAGGCTTTCTATCTCCTTCTTATGTTAAATTATGCAAACAAAAAGAACTAATAGTATCTGTTGGTCTTACAGTGTGTGTTCAGGGTTGGGATTTTATCTCCTGTATAATGGGTCCCCAAGCTGGTGGTATATACCAATCATCTTCCCTATTGAAATTTGGATATTTTTTAATCTCAATAGCCTCGCGTATCATTTTAGGAATGAATCGTTGCTCAGTTGCAAGGATCTGTGGTTTATCAAATCTAATGTAATGGTTTGGTCCCCCTAATGCAAAACTAGTTTTATTTAATGTGATATTAGTGCTAGGGGGAAGTTAACCTATAGTTATTCGTTCTATCCACTTTATATAAAAGTGCAATTGAGAGCAATGCACTGACTAGTGTTGTTTGTGTGTTGTGCAGTGGCCGCGGGCGCTGCCACGGAGGCCTCGGGCCGAGCCGCGCCCGCCCCCGCCACCTCTACTAAACTGCCAAGTACGTCCCTGAACGCTACAATAAGGCACCTCACGCATTAGACGGCCACGACCACGACCACTGGTCGCAACGACCAGATTAACTAAAGATACCATATGAAAAACGCGCACTTGCAGATAACAGGGGGCTATTCGCCTAACGGAAATGCTTTGGAAAACGCTAACGCTTACGATTTCATTTTGTTATTTCTAGCCGCCAGAGGTTTTCAAATGCCTCGCGCTCTTTTTTCTTCTTTTGCATTATTAATAACAATATTAAAAAAAATTGCGTGAGGTTTTCGAAAACCTTCGGCGGTCAGAAATAACAAAATAAAATCGAAAGCGTTAGCGTTTTCCGAAGCATTTCCTTTAGGCGAATGGCCCCCAGGCCGCTCATCGGGCCGGTACGACTGCTCGTTGCGGCCAACTTTCGTAAAGTTTGCTATGTGCGCTCGCGCACTAGATCTACGACCACGAATACGACCAGACCGCGGCCAGCCGTTCTCAGTGTCATGCGGACAGTTTTTGAGTAAACACGCTTAGTATCGTTTTGCAATTCAATGCGAAGATATTTAATTCTGCAATGAGCTTTGATACAAAGTTATTTATTAATGAAATAAAGAAACGATCAGCACTGAAACCGCTTTACGGCCAGCCGTAGTTGTGGCCGCAAACTTGATGACAGCGCAATCGTATCTGCTGCGGCTAATGTTGCGGCCACGGCCACGACTGTCCATGGTCGTCTAGTGCCGAGGTGCCTAAGATCTCACAATCGAAGCTCTGCAATAGACAATTATATTTATCTGCTTCCTGAATCAATAGAATACAGTCACACAGTATGCCGACGCTTTTGTTTTAGTGTAGTGACTAGATTGTAGCTTCCTAATTCTACCGACGCCTGTAATGTTCATGCATTATTGACTTATACGTATAACGTAAGTATGCATAACAGCATAAGAGATTAAATTAAATCTTCAATCCCTGGTCAAATACAAAACAAACTCTATAGCGCGATTCAGCGGATGTATCGAACATTTAACAAAACACGAACTTGCAATCTGTAACCGTACTTTTTGGCTAACAGTTAGGCTGCGTTTCCACCAGAGATGTGCGATGGAAATGTGTCGTGCGAGGATGTCTAGCTGTGCTGTGAAAATGTGTAAGGATTTCCACCAAAGCTGTGCGATGAAAATGTGCCTACGAGGATGTGTAGCGGAGCTGTGAAAATGCGCATTAATGTGTGGTGCGAGGATGGAGCTCTGTGACGTCACTGAGCTCCATCCTCGCACTCTTCTGCTTCCATTTCTTCATCGCAAATTGTTAAATATAAAAGTATCTTCTTTTTCCAATTATCCATATCTATTTTGTGCAATTCTACTTCCAACAAACTCCGTCTATGGACTGGCTGGTACAGTATGCGCAAACACATCCCTCTCAACACACATTCCTCGCAACACATCCTTCATACACATCCCTCGCACACATCCCTCGCTTGTTTTGTATGCGCAAAAATCTAGCTCCGCTGAGCCGTTTCCACCAGAGCTGTGCTGACCGAGGCGAGGTAAATGAAGCGATTCTATTGGTTCTTTACAAACGCATCCCTCGCTATGCATCCTCGCACATCTCTGGTGGAAACGCAGCCTTACAACACTTTCTAGTTATCCATAAATGTTTTTGTGCTAGCTAATAAATAGAAATGTGGTGCTGGAGGAAAATGCTTGGTATACAGTGGACTCAATTCCGAACCAATGCATCCATCCTCTAGGAACTGTCCATCAAACAACGTCTGTCTTCCATCGTACAAGGTCGCATTCTAACTTTCTTTGGCCACATCTCACGCCGAGAAGATGCGTCAGTGGAACGACTGGTGGTGCAGGGCAAAGTCAAGGGCGTAAGAACACGCGGCAGATCACCAATGCGCTGGACTGACCAGATAAAAGCGGCACTGAACGGTCCACTTCACGAGTGCACTAGAAAGGCCGCAGTGCGGGACGAATGGCGGCGTATTGTGAAGCGCGCCACCAACCCTGATGTGACTACCATGACCACTCTGTCAAGAGTGTAGCGCCAAAGAAGAAGAATAAATAGCATAAAATAGTTTTAGTAAGGCAAACTCTTAATCACTTCAAGTGTGTTTGTGAACAATACATTCTTAAGTTACAGATTATCGAAATCGAATTTGACAGCTTATAACAAAATTGTTTAGTAGTTTTTAACTAAACTCGATTAACTGAAATGATAAATGTAAAATGCAACAGAACAGTTGGTCTATGAGTGACTGAAAATTATTTATTAGTAAACAAAGTTTGACTATTCATCGGTTAACTCGACTAGCTTTGTAAATAACTTATTTCAGTGTGTTTATTGTGATGTAACGGGTATTAGAAATATTGCTTTTCATCACAATAATATGGTATCTAAAGCCGCTTCCTTTATACTAAAAATGTAAAGCTCACTATAAAACTTATTGTATATTATTAATTGATTTTGACGACCTCCGTGGCCGAGTGGTTTGTATGCCGGGTTTCATGGTGTCGCCGACTCCAGAGGTCCCGGGTTCGAATCCCGTTGGGTCAGATGTTTGTGTGATGAATACGAGCATTTGTACTCCAGTCATGGATGTTTAATACGTATTTCTATATAAATAAATAAATATATGTACAGTATATGTATTCTATCCGTTACCCTAGCATCCCATAACACAAGCCTTACAGTGCTTACTTTGGGGCTAGGCTAATTGGTGTGTGTTGGAAAAAAAAATTATCTATACTCTAAATTATGTAATGAAAGGTAACTTCTGTAATATCTCTTAAGTAATTTTTCACCTTGACGACTCTATATATAACAATACATATAAAATATCTATATATAAAAAACAGCCCTTGCTGAGCTTCTTGCCGGTTCTTCTCAGTACAAGGGAAACCTTCTCGCCGTAGTTTTGCGAACCGATGGCGTAGTTTCTCCACCTTCACAAGTGCTTGTAACAGCCTAAACTAAGTAAATGATTTTGATTCATTATGTAGGATACATGCATTTTTTTTTTGAAGTTATACTTCTTTAGGCGCGTTATGAAAAAATGATGAGAGTGAAATTTTAAGATGCGCGCGCATCACTGTAACACAAAATTTTAACAGCATGTAGTTGGTCGCTTTAGCGACCAACTTCATGCTGTTACTTCTACAGCGCCATCTCTTGACCATTGGTGTAGTAGAACCAAAAACCACATCTTTATTTTTTGTAATAAAGTAACAGTTATAGGTATTCATATTTATAATATTAAAAGTATTTATTAATCTGGAACAACGGAACCAAAGCGCGATTCAGGAGACTACAGCGCCATCTCTTGACCATTGGTGTAGTAGAACCAAAAACCACATCTTTATTTTTTGTAATAAAGTAACAGTTATAGGTATTCATATTTATAATATTTATCCACATGTTTCTAGTTTGTATATTCGGAATACGTGTTTGAGTTTCATACAAGTGCAAATCACATATGTTCTAATAAATTATGTTCAGTAGCGATTTTAATTGAATATTTTGATTATTTATTTATTTTTTCAAATTAAAACTGAGCTTTATTGACTGTGTCCTTTTCCAGACTTTTTATTAATTTATTGTAATTAATTATTTGCATGCAATTAAAAACTATTTTTAAACGATGCCAAAGAAGGATAACTTCTCACGCGCCTACATAAGTACACGCACCCATTTTTTATTATTATGTAAGTATTTTCTGAGCGACAGGAACTAGGCATAAGTTCAAGTAATATTATACCTATTACGTATACAAATTCAATTAAAACAAACATTTATCCATGTAACGTCCGCGTGGAATCCTCGGATTACGCAAACTTCGTAAATGGACATCCTATCTGCCTAGCTCACAGCCCGCGCCTGAACAGCTGCGCGGCTCAAGTTGCTCTTATCAAAACAGCTCCAATGTAACGAGACCACTGACTGTAAGCTTAGTCGTTATGACGCAATGTTGCCAGATACACTGTAATTACAGCAGATCTACTGTATTTTCACACGATCTACTGTACACTGTAATACTAAAATTACAGTGTATGGAGAACACTGTAATTTTTCTAAGGGCTAAAATCTTTTCGGAGAGCGTTCGAGAATGAGTTTAAAACTTACCGGACTATTTTTCACCGGATCTCGAACGCACTCGTAGTTAAATGTAAGTAAACTGAAGGCAGCCTTTGTAAAAAAAGATTTTTACGAATTTGTCGAAGGGCAACCCCCCGTCCCGCGCCACCTCCCTGCTTATGACACAACTCTTGTTACTATTGAAATAAGAACGGAAATGTCTTATTTTAAACGGGCATGAATAGTGGCGTGGTGTATACTATGCGGTAATTCCCCGGACGTAGACTAGGAATCATTTCGTAGAGTAGGTACGTAGTATTAAGCGCCCAAATTTTGTCAACCGTGTTTAAGCACGAGTTGTATTAATTTTAAACCAACTGAGAAAATGTTAAAATCATTTCATTCGGGGATCTCCAAAAAAGAAACGGCTGTCGGGCTAAATGATAGTGACAGTGATTAATAAGTGGTTGGTTAGTCAACTAGAAAGTGTATTTTCATTTAAATTTAAACAATATACGTTTCTTGATATCTGCTGTATAATTTACTGTATATTTTTTTACTTTAACTGTATTTTTGTCTCAAACACTGTATTTTTTTGCACCCAACACTGTAATATCAGTTTCCTCATCTGGTAACACTGTTATGACGTAAGATCGCCATTAGTATCAGAGCATTCCTCAGATTGTACGAGATCCTATTTTAGCATTGACTTTACAACGATTTTATATTTTTTGATGCTGTCCAAATATTCCCACGATATGTTGAAAGTCATGCTCATATGACATTTGTTGAAATACGGACAACTTGAGGAACCGTGGCCTACTACAGAATGTATTAGATTTTGAGGTTATAATTATTATACTTAATCTTAAACGATGTACACTTTATATCTTCTGAATAGATTTGTTGTTTACCTCTATGTAAGTA